AGCTTTCTCACCATTCGCAACTCCAAGAGCTGTCGCCTTCATCTATTGCTATTGCCAAGTCAGAATGGGAGTTTAAGTCAACACAACTTAAAGTTCCCAAGGTTGAGAAACCTCGGGTTAATCTTTTGCAGTTGAAAGAATAGAGAGTTCTGATATCTCAAAAGCAATAAATCTAGGTGGCTGCTCTTGGAAGGGAGAGTCGAGAGAAAGCAGAGTTTCTTTTTTTTCTCCTCTCTGCAGAAGCTTCTTGCGGATGCTAAATCCATCTTTTAGACCGTAACTGGCTGAGCTGGCAAAATGCCAGGTGGTGGAATTTTTTTTTTTTTTCCCCGAGCTAATGGCAGATAGACAGCATGTGTGTGTTCCTCTGTAGAGGCAGTAACATTTCTACGAGTTACTGCCAAGAAAAGTGGGCCAACCACACAGGGATTTGCTCTTTGGAAGCAATGCCCCCCCCCACTTTGATACCACTTCAAAAAGCAGCGTTCGTGTGTTTCAAAAAGAACAGGTATAAATAAGCTTGCACATACAATGCAACCCAAGGCAACGATTCATTAAGAGTTTGACAATTCAGGAAGGGTATTAAACATAGACCTAAAATAGGGGCCAGGTGAGCCTTTAAATAAGAGCATCCTGTTGTGAACAACCTGTCTCTACCTTGTAGTCTCTTTGCCTTCCATGAGAGAGAGGCCAAAGAAGGCATGTCTGCCGATGGAAGCTGTCTCTTGAAACCCAATCAATTCTCCTGCAACTCCCCTTTTCCATTGCCTGCTGCACAAACCAAGGAGCAGCTCGACTTTCCAAGCAAGTGGGTGAGTATGTTGTGATTTTTCTCTCCAAAAGTGTAATGCAGACAGCCTCTCTTCTTAATCCTTTACAAGAGACAAAGGAGACCCTCCCTTTTAGGGAGAGGCAACATCTTGGGCAGTCTTGACTGGGATGCTACCTATTACCTCTAGCAACCTTCCCCATCCTGTGCACCATCAGGGATATGGATTTCAACTCCCAGGATTCCCTAGTCAGCCTGTTTATTGTTGAGAATTCTGGGAATTGAAGTTCACCCATTTGAAGAGCCTCCAGGCAGGGAATGGCTGACATAGTAATATGATAATTAACTCATTATTGTGGAACCTTATATAAGGCTGACACCATCCCTAGGCAAGATGGGAGATATCAGAGACGGGAGAATTCCTGAATGTGGAATATGATGGTATACAAAGAGGAAAGGAATGCAGGGGGGGGGGTCCTGAAAAGAGCATGGAAACTGTATTCGCTTTCTTCAAAGATATGGGGGCACAGAATGTAGAGATCTCAAAAGCTCCCTACTACATTCAAAAACATCTTCCTGGCCTTCCGTTATATTTCTTAAATGCAAAAAAGGTTCATGACCACTAGATGTCAGCAGGGTATTAAAAGTGTACTGTATTGTCCAAACTCTTGAATCCACTCCAAAGCCATCAATCCAAGGTGAAACTTTTATCTATTTATTTTTTAAAAGGCTACTTGGATGTGCGTGTGTGAGTAAGTGAGCGTGTGTTACAGAAGAAAAGGTATTAAGAATCCTGACTCCTGAAAATTTGAAATGTCTTTGTAACATAGTATTTCACTTAACTTTTTCCCTCTCCCCCATATACTTTTTAAACGAAATCTGAATATTCTTTTTGTGTTTACTTACATGCTTCAGCCATAAATTGGTCTCCATAATCTGGTTCACTTCATCCTGAGGGGGAAAAAAGCATATACCATATTTAAAACCTGAAATATAGAGAGCTCTGCTACGTGTCAGCAACTAGCTGACCTGATCTAAAATACCCAGCAGTTAGTACTTGAATTGGACACCCTAGAAAATTGCATTGTTACAAGTTAAACTGGAAAAATGAAAAATACCCCAGGAGAAAGCTATATCACACCATTTCCATACTGTTGTCAAGAAAATGACATAGATATGTCCATGAAGTCACCAAGAGTTGAATGTGACTCCAGAGACTTTATTCATTATATCAGTGTTTCTCAACCTTGGCAGCTTGAAGATGTGTGGACTTCAACTCTCAGAATT